GTCAGTCAATAAAATTCAACATCCAGTGAAAATTTTCAACACCCAATTAACTGGATAATCAGTGAATATCATTTGGTAGATACAATCACTAATCTATCACCATGTCTCTTATCATCATTTAGTATTATTTATTTATTATTTATTAGTATTTTTATATTTAACATTTATATATACTGTTTTAACATCAATCTATAAACACTAATAAAAATGATCATTGAGATAATCTGTGTCTCACAGTAAATCTCAATATTTATTTATAATAATATGCCAACAATGTTAATACAATTTCTTCCAATTTATTTATAGCAACAATTTCTGTGAATGCATATTTATTATGCTTTACTCTCAAACCTATCTTTCACTATCATTAAACAATTCCTTACACTAAGAAATACTAAATAATATCTTTAGATATACTGATTGTGTTTTTTGGTGGGTGCCCTTCTAGTTGTTAGCCTCTTTACTACAAAGTCAGGTACATATCCAAAACTACCAAATAAAATTCATTAAATATTACCTCACTAAAAAAAAAAAAACCAATAAAAATAATAGACAAATATAAATTTATTATGCTTGGGATTAGTGTGAATTCATTGTTAGAGATAGATTTATTATTATTACAAAAATATAAATTTGAAGGCTATGCAGTGTTGTGACCAAAAACCCTTTTGGCTTCCCAAAACGTTTTGGAAAATGAACTTACACTAAGCAGAAAACTAAACCTAAGCCTAAACATAAACATAAACTACTAACCTAAACTAGTTTCAGGTGGTTTCAGTTAGTTTCTGTTTCGGGTTTTCCCTAAACTCAGTGTTTCAGGTTACAACACTGAGGCTATGTCAAGGGACAGGGACAAGGTTGAGGACAGTGTTATTTATTAAATTATTATTATGATTATTTATGATGATGATTTGTGATGATGAAGATGATACATGAAGTTGAGAAAGTTACAACGTTATTATATATGTTAAAGGTTCTATCATCCTTCACAAAATTACAAAACTCAAAATAACTCTTAAACTATATGTTATATTCAAATAAAAATTTATGTTTTAGATTCACTTTTTGATGCTCTTTAAACTAATAGAGAGCTTTTTACAATTTTACTTGCATAAAATTTTGTAACATATATTCACAACTTTTACTTTGATTTTCTAGCTTAAAATAAATGCCATTGTTTATATTAAAATAAAAAAAAGGGCTCTATTACTTTATTGTCCTATTTCTCTAGTATGTTTTAAACTTAACTTGGAGTCAGTATCTCTATTCTTTAAAGAGTTATAATCATTCAAAGTTTACTATTGAAAAAAAGATCAGCAAAAAATATGTGATCAACTATGTTTGTAAAATCATATAATGTAAGACACCCCAATTCTTTATGTACTGAATCCAGAAAATCATTGTCCACTTTATCTTCCAGCTATTTGGGCTCTGTATGAATAGGTAATGCAGAGCATCAAGTCTTTGACTCCTGATGTACATCAGAATTAGATATGTTTATTCAAGAATTTATTCCAGGGAAATAGATGCTGCAAAACAACTTTTGTAGAAAATACACTTTGTGCATTGGTAATAGTTTGATGGCACTCTGTGTCCTTGTCTTGCAAGCTCCATTCCTTAATTAGTGAGACATCATGTTTTAGTTTAGCAATAAGGTCAGTTTTTTTTCTTTATTGCTCTGCTCATGTTAGTGATAAGGTTGGTCTTTTCTTTATCACTCTGCTTTAGATTCATGAATCTGGTTTCATATCCTTTTAAAGGTTGCTTTAATTTTGCATTTGCAGCTTTAACTTCAATATTCTCAGCCTCAACCTCAACATACTTCTTTCTATTATTAGTATTAGCAAAAAAAAAAAAAAGATATTTTTTGTAGGGTGAGTTTACATCAATCAATCAGCAATTGTGACACAGGACACGGGTTGCAACATCACACTGATGGCTATCAATTGTGTCCAGCATCTCTAAGAAGTTCTCCATTAACCATTGTCTATAGAAAGTTGTAGAAAGTACTTTTGACTTTCACATTGTTAAAAGTCTATAGTTTCACCCACAAGTATAATTACAATGAAAATTAAAATTTTTCACAATGAACTTGGATGATTATAATGGTGCAAAAATATATTTAAATCTTTTTAAAATTAATAATAATAAAAATCTCTAAACATTTTAATATGAAAAATTTGCATGCATATAAAAATAATAATAATGAATGATAGAAGATCTTTATGAAAAATTATGGATATTTTTAATGAACCACTTGTATAACTTGAAGCATTTACCAGAGGTTCTCACAATTTGCTATATAGTGCATAATATCTCATTAGTATGATATGTGTATAGTATTTAAAGTGTAACCATTTTTTATACTGACCAAAAAAGTTTCTTTATTTCCAAATAACTCATGGACACCAATAGTGGCAAATATATTATACCAATCTTTTGGAATAGTGCACAAGCCAGAGTTAACATAACAATCTGGGTGAGAATCGAATGCTGTCTTTGTTATTTCTGAACAAGTAGTAGCATTAGAATTATAGGTTGGGACTAGTGCATTTTGAAGGCAAAGCATTGTATCAGTTATCCTGATTTATGATAAAAGATAGTAAAATGAGTTAATATTGCCTGTGACTTTTGACAGACATCGTTTAAAAAAAGCATTTTCATCCTCTCATGATGGCATTTTATGATACTTACCATTTCTTCCCACGGCTAGTGAACAAGTTACTGGAATTTTTAAATTTTTCACAATACTTAAGTCCATATTTTATTTGATATCCTGTAGCTCCACAATGAAATTTTTTTTCCAAGCAGTCTGTATAAAAGTTGCAAGAATTTGGTGCTGGATTATTACAATCTCCAGTGATATGTACCGTCAAAAAAATCACAATAATGCATGGAATAATGATTGCGATGGTTGATAATAACTTCATTATTTTTACTATCTTCAATAATATTATGAAGCTTGTGAGCGAAGCCACAAGGCGAACATTATTACAATCACATATAACATTGACATTTCGAGCTTATATTAATATTAATATTAATATAGTAATAGGTAAAATATTGGTTTGCTTAGTCATGTATGATTTAATCAAATATTAACACCCATCAAATCAGAATTCATTTTAAATATTAAATTTGTGGCTTTTACAAATTTTATTGTTTTATTAAAAAACTGCCACGATTTTTTAATATTAATAAAATTAGATGTTTAAAAATTGCCTAGCGAACTAAATTTATCATGTCAATTTCAAAGCTTCGGATCGAAGAAATTATATCGAATAACAACATTTAACCAACGATATTATAGTATATGTTGTAAAAAGACCTAGTACCAGTACTGCTTGCTCGCTTAAAAAAAAATTCAATGCTATGATGCTGATAGTACAATTTATCTTTTGACGTTACGGACAACTCGGCGGATTAAAAAAAAGAGAAATCAAATTTCCGCAAAATGGGTGGATGGATTATAATAAAAAAAATATTCAATAAATATTTTAATTAAAAGTAGTGCAGAAAAAATCATCCAAGATTTTTTCTTTTTTTTTTTTGTATTTTATATACGAATTATATATAAAATATAAAAAATTAAAAAGATCTAATAAATATATAAATATTCTTTAGCAAATATTGAAATATAATATAAATATAATAAAATATTCAGCGCAATAAAATAAAAAACAATGAATTTTTTTTAAATACTAAAAAGTCACTATTACAAAAAGTAAAATTATATAAAGTGCGGTATTTATATATAAAAAACAACAATTATAATAATTTAATTATCCTCTAATATATATTGCCTTTTCAGCACCCCCCACCCTTCCTGCACGTCCAGTTTTATCTGCATGGTCAAGACCTAAATACTCATCTTTTTCTATTTTTTCAGATAATATTTGATCTGTTCATGAAAAAACAAGATTAATTAATAATGAAATCAATATATATAACTCGGAGTAAATCCAGAAAAAAAAATCATCGTTACTAACCATCTTCTACATATGTTACTTTTGGGTATGAGGAAGATGGCACAACAGCAACTTTAACTTTAGCAAATTCTTTTTCATTCATGCCAAGACGTTGTTGAAGTCGTGTTTTAGTGTCTGTAAAAACTTCACCCTAAAGATATGAATAGTGTATGTGCATGCGATGGTACAAATTTTAGTAAAAATTGTATATAATAAATAGATTTTTTTTCAATTTATTAAAAACACAAACACGCAACACTTACAGCTTTAATTACAAATTTAAACGGAATTCCATGTGAATGTAAAGGTTCTTTTGAGAAATGATATACTTGAACAATTTTATCATCAGAACTCATTTCAAGTTCTTCTTTAGGTATTTCCTATATTAAAAACAAAAATATATATATGTAAATAAATATCAATAAAAATTGGTTTAAAAATTTTTTTTTTTAAATTAAAAAAATATTGGCAACCTCAGCATATAAGACTACATAATCTTGTATTCGATCTATAGGTTCATTGCCTTGGTATTCTTTGTGAATTTTATGATTCGTGACTTCATACATCCTAATTTTAGCTTCAGGTTCTGATAATGTAACTTTTTCTAAAATCGTTTCCATTACCTCTTTAGTTACTGCAGTTTTTACAAGACGTATATCAATTAATTCCTAAGTAAATAAATAAGTAGTTTTTTTTAAAATATGATTATAAATAAATGGAAAATTATAAGTTAGACTTGTTTATCGAGAAAAGATATAGCTTACCTCGTCTTTAACTTTTGTTCCAAGCCAATTGACTTTTAAAAATTTTTTTGTTTCAAGTTCTATAATACTAACATCCAACATTTCATAATATAATAAAGGCGGTGTTCCATTATTAGAATATGTGGTTTGTATCATGTCTGTTAAACTCTGTGTTGTTGTTCGCTTGATAATATTTTTTGGCGCGCCTGTTGCTGAAGTAAACCTTAATTTTAATGGTTCTGTATTTAGATAAGTTCCAACTTCTTCAGCAACCTATAAATATATACGAAAATGCGTGTTTATAAATAAAAGATCAATTAAACATTAGTGGCAGAAAAGAATATACTACGTACAGCATCATAAGTCATTTTTTTATTTAGAACTAATTCAAATTCTTTTGGATCACGATTTTTATGCTTTGGTTTAAATTGAATAACAATTCTTTGTGTTAAATATTGATAAAAATCTGGAATTGTGGCGATTCGATTAGCAGCTTTATGTTCTTGAATACTAAAAATTAAAAATTAAATTAAATTATATATAATATTTTAAATTAAAAAGAACCAATATTTCTTTAATTATTCCGTACTCTCTTTCTGTTAAAGTTCTTTGGTAACAAATTATATCTCCGTCCTGTATTTCAGATTGTTGAAATGTTGATTTTGGTTTCATTTCTTCTATCATATTTGGTTTAATTTCCTAACAATAACAATAACAATAACAATAACATATTATTATTTATTATAATAACTTAATTTTAACAATTAAAAAACACTTACTTCATATACACTTAATGGTGTATTCGGTGGAAGATCCTTTTTTTCACATAGAAATGGGAAAATTTCACCAACTTTATCAGATTTTTGTATATATAGAGAACCTAGGCATCTAATTTTAGAAGGAAAATTAATATATATAACCAAGCAAACACACGCAAAAAAGTATCAATAGAATATATTATCTTATCATACATACTCTAAAACTTGTGTATAAGGATCAAAAAATTTCAGAAATACTATTATAAAAGCATTTCCATCTGTTCCAGGGAACCACTAATATAATAGATCAAAGTGAGAAAATAATCGTATTAAAGTATGTTTAAACGAACAACCTGGGAAAAAATTAATTTTTTAAAATTAATTTACTTTGCCATTTAAAGTTTTATCTGCAATCTCCAAGTATAATCTCAATTCATGCATACGTGGTGCAAATTTAACACAAATGTCTTCCATCGCTAATATATAATTATAAAAATAATAAATACGCAAATAATAGAAGAAAATTATAAAAGAAAATAAAACAAGAAATTGAAATCTTACTTAAATTATGATGAACAGGTGGTATTGGTGCATCAGGTCTGACAGTTTTATTTTGCCTGTTGACAAGAGCCCAAAAACGAATTTGATCAGGTGATTTGTCATACTCAGCTGCCACCTTCTCTTTAAAATCATTGAATGTACTCGTTTTAAGAACTTTTAATGGTTGAAGATTTGATAAAGGGTATTGTCGCTCGTCAAAATTGGCAAGATCAAATCCTTGATGTGCTTTGAAAGTATCTTCAGTAACAAGCTTTTTAAAAAAAAATTTTTTTAATGAATTATGCGAATAACTCATACATAGTTTCTAAATAAAACTATTTTATCAATATCAGATTAAAAAAAAAATACGTATATACCCTAACTTGTGCATATAAATGCCTTTCCTCGGCTTCTTTTTTCTTTTGTTCATAAAATCTTTTTTCTTCTTCAAGACGTCTTTCTATTTGATTTTCGAAAGTATTATCATTATAATAACATCCTGTTTCTTTTTCTTTTTGTTATCAGCGTTATATTTTAAAAAAACTTACGTAAATGTTCTGGTATATCTTCAGGAATTACAGGTGATAGTATGTTATCAAGGTCAGATTCACGAATATATACCAACATATAAGCATTTGTGAAGCGTTTGATATTTCTTGAACCAGGTCTTAGATTATGAAGTGGACTATTGTTGGTACTCTCTCCACCATAATTGTCCTCTAATACTTCTTTATCTGTCACGGGCGTTACTCTATCATCATCAAATTTTAACCTGTATTATTTAACATATAAATAATTATTTGTTATTTATCATTTATTAGGAAAAATTCTCATTCCAATTAAACATTATACAATATGTATATGCAATTTAAGACAAACCATCTTCCATCTTTTTCAGGTTTTAATAATGCAAAATAATGTCCTCCATGTAAATCACCACTATGAACAAGTACACTATTATGTTAAAATATATTTTTTACATTAGTTTATATTGTGTGTGTATATATATATATGTATATATATATACTCTCGAATAAAGATTGATATTTATTCATATCTACCCATGAAGTAAGTATTTATGAGGCTTTGACCTATCTGCATCAGAAGATAAAAATTCTTCTAAATCAATTTCCATTGGAAACTCATGGCGATCATTAATCTAATAAATTCGATAATGATAATATTATAATATATATAATTGGAAAATCATACATAAAAGTCGACACTTTTTCTACCTTGACCATGGCATCTCTTTGAATATCATACTCAAATCTTTTTAATTGTAAATGAAGTACGGGAGGAAAACTTTCAAATATTACACCTTTCTTGGCTTCCTATAATAAAATTTTCGATAGTTTATCAAATAGTTATTTCATTAAATTATTTTTTAAAATTTTTTATATATATTTAAATAATTATTTATGCATACTTGTAAACCATAGCCTTCAGCCTGATATTTATTTTCACCTTCTAGTGTTTCTTCTTGTATATAATCTTTAAATGAATCTCTTAATGTCTTGCATCCTTTCACATTCAATTGAATATCTATATAAATGTAAATAAATATTTTAATGTGTGATAGTTTTTTAAATTGATAATTATATATTTATTTAACAGATATCACATTTATTAAAGACAAATAATATTCAAAGATTAATAATAATAAACAATCAAAATGATAAATACCATAATAATCTTCAACACGTGAAGACTCATAGTCAACCTTCACACATTTTATATAGCTTTTCATTTTACCAACGAAAAGCTTGGTAATGGCACCATCAGCTTTGGTGTTCTGTAAATAAGGAAATTTTTGAAAATAAAAAAAATCGAAAGAAAAATGTTCCAAAGAAAAAGTTTTCCTTTGAAAAAAAATTAATAATTATTTATTTTTAAAATAAAAATGAATATGAATACCTTCATTTTCCCTTCAAGGTTGTCTTGTAATACTCGATTAAATTCTTGAACATCATGTTGCATAAAAGAATCCAAGGAATCCCAACCAAAAGATTTTGTTAGTTCCGTCGTACCCACTGGAGTTTCTGAAGTCTGTAATTGATAGAAGACGCGCTGTAAGGCGAGGGAAACACTTTTGACAGGCTCATCTTCCTCCGTTGGAATTTGGTATACTGCCTATAAAAAAAAAAGAAAAAGTAATAATTAATAAATATATGAATATATGAATAATTCATAATAAAGGTGCAAGTATTTCGAAATTAAAAATTTCAACAAACTTTTCTGAAATAAGTTGTGCAGTATAGTGATTGCAGTAGTGAATTCATGTAGCAGGTGGCACCTTGATTCTTTAGTCCGACATAGCCGGTCTCTTTCTTTGAATCATAACTGTATGAAGAGGTTAACAGAAATATTGAAGGCCATAACAAAAGAAAATATTTACGAACTAAGCTTTGAATGATAGAAAGAAAGTAGGTAAAATACTTGTTAAAATTATGCCATAAGACACCTGTAGGATCTTTCAGTACACGCACAAACGCCGTAATGTTTGTTACGTCGTTTTCTACAAATGGCCGTGTTCGATTATCAACAGATTGAAACATTTTTCGAATGTCATAAAACCGTGTAAATCCCCAATCTGATTCTTCAGCTGTAAATCGATGGTGTGCGTCTAGATAATATTTATTTGTTTAAATATAGATATTGATATATGGAAAGTATATTGAGGTTAGAATTAAAATTGAATATACATACGATGGCTCATACAAGTTGTTGGATCTTCAGGATTCCATAAAACCAAAGCAAACTGTACACATGAGTGCCAACCCGCCGGAGCACCTTTTGGATCTGCAAAGTCTAAATAAATTGAAACACTATCCGGGTTATTGTTTCCGGATGGAAATAGCAAAATCCGCCTGAAAAATTGAAATATTACTATATATTTTTCCTTGTAAACTAAATATATATAAATTTTTTAAAGATATTTTCTTCTTTATTTACCACTTCCATCCACCAGCTTCAAATTCAGGTCCTGTTGTTCTTTTATCCAAAGACTTCCAACTTTTAATTGTCCATGTACTATATTTAAAATCTTCAACTTCTTGGCCAAGTTCTGGTAAAATTTTATTTGCATAGGCTTCAACTATAAAAATTATAATATATAATTGTTAATCATTCATTCATTAACTAGAAAATATTTTCTAAGCCCAATTAAATATATCAATTTTTGAACTATATAATCCATTAATCCATAAACTGAAGAATCTATAATAATATCAGTGATTAACTAGATAATAATACATACAATCGGTTACTGCTATTGGAGTTGTTTCCTCAACATCCGACATAGGTCTTTCCGAATCGACAGGTGTTGATTCAACAGAAATATCCATATTATTATCCTATGTTGTGTCAATAACGAAACAATGATCAATTAATAGAAAGAAATCCTCCAATGATCAAATATGCCTTTATAATTTCAATTTCTAGAAAATTGATAAATCAAAGTGAAAACACTTGTGACATCACACGATCTCAACAAATGACTGTTTAAATCAAGAAAAGGGAGTATTGGAGGAATGAAATAGGCATGAAAGAAATTGAAAAAAAGGGATCCAGGTAAAAACTAGATGTAAATATATATATACACAGCTAAATCAAAGCTACTAGAAGTATACTATATAAAGTAAAAAGTGGTGATTCTTAGTAATTAATATATAAATCTTAAACCATAAAAAAGTTACCATGCTGAAGTCTGCGGGAATTGTTCGCGTGAGATAAGATAAGACTACGAAAAGGCAGACGAGCAAGAAGGGTTGTAAAAGATTCTCGTAGATTAAGAAGTCAATGTTGATCGATTTGTGTTGATCAAAAGAAAAGAAATTGAAAAAAAAGTAGGATTCTGAAAGATTGTATTATATAATGAAAAAAAAAAACAAACTACACCATGTAACTTGTAAATAATTATTTCTCAATATAACGATCACAACACTTTTTTAATTTTTTCTTTTACGACTGTAATACTAAAGTTGATAAATTTTATTGCCACGTAGATTTCTGACGTATATGTATCACGTAACCATAAAAAAATTTTTTTTAATGTTGATGTTCTCAAATTGGCAAAGAATTGTCATTAGTATTAAGGACTGCTGACTTACTAATTTTTATTTTATTTAAATTTACTATTATTTCATTCTAGAGACATACACGCACTTGCCTCTTTTTATATCAATTTCTTTAAAGCTAAAGAAAAATTATTAATCAATTATATATATAGTACATACTGCGTTGTGTTCAATTTGTCTGACTGCAGGGGTCTAAAACAATTCAACAATGTGATCTTATATAAAATTTCATGATATCCCTCGCATTTATTTTTGTGTTAACACGGCCTTCTTTATTCACCAACAGAAAATAACAAGAATCAACCCTCCAATGCTGTATTTTGAAAAAAATTACTCTTGGTTGGTTTTACTACTGATCCATAGGTTTGATTTACCTTTTTATTTGGGCTTTAAATTTGTGTTTTTTTTTTGCCTTAAATTAATTGAATATCATATTTTTTCTAGGCTATCTTTTCATTATTAATGAGTATGTAATATGCATATTGTTTAGTAGGCACAACAAACTTCTTATGAATTCTGCAAGCATATTTTAATCAGCCCTCAATTGTCTAGCAAATGATTTGGCTAAGGAAGTAATTGTTCTTCTTAACTTCCCCAATTATATTTTGTGATATCTATTTTCTTTGAATGTTCTTAATTAAACTTATGTCATCACTAGCATGTAAATAAATTTTGAGGTCAGTAAAACTTCTTAGATCTTGCAAAGCAGTAACTTCATCATAAATAATGATAGGATTAGTCTTTTCAATTCAGCATTTACAATGTAAGTTAATTTCACACCATTATCTCATTTTCGAGGTTCTGACCAATTAAAAGTTTTTTCAAGACTATATAGAAGTAGGCAATTAATATCTCGACTATTTGGATCATTAAAATCTAAAAAACCTGGCGAGAAAGTATTATCATAATAATATCATGATGTAAATAAATAGTAGTGTCTATCCATTATAATATTTTAGACAATGTAGTTTTACTTGTGCCATCAATTAACATCAAGAATGGATTTCTTTTCATTAGTTTTATAAGCAAATTAATAACCCTTTTTTTTCAAATTTAATTCTATAGGATTTGCTTACATATAAGAATACAAATATGAAACTAATTTATATCAAATTCACTCGTGGAACCCGGTACTATCAGAAGTATTTATAAAAAGAACAAGGAAAAAATTGCATCTTACATATTTAAATTTGCTGATACCAAAACAATTAAAGAGTCCTTAGATAAAGAAGGAATCGCTTATGAAATTTACCAAAAAAGAAAAGATCATTAAAAGGGCAGTTGGCATTAAAGTTTATCAAGAATTTAGGAAGAAACGAAAGACATTAGAAGAAAACTAAATCACATGGTTATATAATTGAGGAAGCTTTCTTCAAGGTAAATGAATAAATTGTCCATTTTTTTTTTCTCTTAGCAATATAAACAATGATAGTTGTAACATTAATCTAACTAATCATAACCAAATCAACTTTTCCTTCTTACCAACTAAATCTACTACAACAGCACAAAGTTCCTTTTCAAAACCTTACAAAGGAATTGGATTAAAATTTGATTCCGCGAGAACTTATGATCCATCAGGTATTGTTATTTATTTGAGACATGGCTTTTATACTCTGCAGCTGTTTTTCATATTTAAATCACTAGCAAAAGTTTTCACATGATAATTATTGCCCGTTTGGAGTATATCTGTTAGACTTGTAGTTTAGGAAGGACATAAGTTTTGATTTCTGATTTAAATTCTTCACTTACTGAAGTAGTTATTGTCGACAAAAATATCAAAGTCCAAGTGGTAATTCATTAATGTTGATGAGGGATTTCTGCCATTAATTCTAGCAACTTCAAAAGGACTTATCTTGGAATTGGAGAATTTGCAAAAATCCACTTTTCCTCGATTTTCGATAGGAACTTACAATGGCTAGCTCAATAATCAAAGTTTTCTTTCAAAGCATTAATAATTTTTTTGATAATTATTTATTAAATGATGGCGCAAGTTTATTATTAAATATTAAATATGTTTTATTTTACAACGTTAAAACTATTTCTCTACTACTACTATTCAAGAGTAGATTATATTAATTCTGTACTAAATTTGAAAAAAAAACTTCTCTTTATATACGGAGACGGTTTCCTGTGCAGATCAATTAGTGTCACCAGCAACAATTGTTTAGCATTAACATTATTATACTTGGCAATGGATTTATTTCAGCGATTTCACAGTTTCATGGATAGCGTCTTTGAATTTTCAAATTGCAATGATATGGCATTGAGCTGTGACTATAACATGTTAGATTTAAGGTCATCCTATTCAATTCCAATCCTATTTTCAAATATGATGCGAGGTCTATGATACACGACACAATAGTTGTTGCAGTTTTCATACTTCATACCATTAATCCAACAAACAAACAATAACTATAATGAATAACAAATGTACCAAATGATTCTGTTATAGAAAGCCATGGTTCTTAGTACCTTCTTTAGGAACTTCCGGCATTTTCTGCAAGAACTTTTTTGATTAAATTTGCATCTTTTAATTTCGGTTTGAATCTTTTTTTTGAAAAATATCAATGGAAAAGAGTTTACAATCAATTAATCACTATCCATTCATTATCTTCTTATTATGAGCTGCTGTTGATATTTAACAATTTAATTTGAGTTAAATTACTTGTCATTTTGTTAAGTATATATATACACTTCTGTGCCTGAGTTTTTAGTGGTCCTTGAGTGTCACATTATTATTGCCTAATATTAATCCTATTATTATCAGAAACGTTCTACGACAATTCATGCCAAACTGAACGAAGCTCAAAAGATCTACCAATCAAATGTGTGCAGTAACAGACTTAGGCATCCTATCCTATCAAGAGGAATGAGGCTCTTTGACAGATTCCAAAAATGTGCTGTGTCATAATCATAATATCATCTTAAAGCTATCCATTATATATATATATATATTAATATATTGGAATTAACAATGCTGTTGTTATTGATAAGATACCATGTTCGGGCTTCCTTGTTAGAAAAACCTGAATGATATGTCCTTCATCTCAAGTAACTTATAAGTGACCTATTCCACCTTCTTGAAATAGATAGATATAGGTTTACAAAAAAAACATAGTGGTGAACAATCAATGCTTAAAATGTAAGACATGATATGATACTTACATATGTTGGATTGTTAATCACCCAATAGTTATATGATTTTGAACTTTTGATAAAACAACTCTTTGATTTAGGTATACAACAGACAACAACAGACAACAACAAAGGTAATACTTCCAAAATAGCCACCACCAGTTACAAAAGAAATTATTATAATCCTGCTCTTAAAATTCAGATGTGCTAAAACCAATTTCATTTGTCATTTTATTATTATTATTGTTGTTGTTGTTGTTGTTGTTGTTGTTGTTATTGTCACCATTATTGTCATTATTATTATACTAAAACTAGAGTGAATAGAGTTTCTATTCGTAATGCAAGTTCTTATTCGGATTATTCGTATAAAGAATTATTTGTTTTATTAATAAAATTCAACCAGCTTGGATAGAAGCCGTTCCAGTTAATTAATGACTTAAAATAATAAAGATAAAGATTATGACTTAACATTTCACAAAATCCAAGTTTATCCGGTCTCTCCATACAACAGTTTAACTGAGTCTTTGATTACTAACATGTTTTCACTTTAGTTTCAACTGGTTCTCTGAGTATTTCGAGTATCCCTTGATGCGGTAAGTGTTGCAAATAAGCAAGGTAAAATACCAACAGATGGTCTTGATGTTTTAACCACTATAGGTCAAAAAACTAGAAAGTAATATGTATTAAATGATTTTTAACCACTCCATTGTTAAATTTTGATCCCTGAAACATAATGTTCACTTTGTCTGATACGTTACAAATAAGTTAACGTGATACTTTGTACCTTTGAAAAGGTTTTGTTCTTATTATAATAATAATTTGTAATAAATGCTTCTAAACATATCGAATACCATACAAATCTTACGAATCTAAAATTTATATGTTTTAAAAAATTTAATAAAAATACAAGAACTTGATCGTGACCGATGATGACAAAAATGCTCATTTACCTTAAAAAAATAAATGACCTGCAATGCATGCCGTAATTATTTAAATTGTAACAGAAACAGAAGGAAGGCCTTCCAATCTCAAAAAACAAATGCTATCAACCAAATCAATGCCAATGATAAAGCTAAAAGTAATAACACTAAGATAGAAACTCGCTTGAAAACTTAAATCCAAAAAATTATCAAATTTTCATCTGATATATTTTCTCAAGAATGTACTATATATTTGCTATGATCTTTTTTTATAGACTTTGCAGGTGTTGCACTCGGCGCAACTTCCACAAATTCTAAACCTTGGACTTTGCATTTAGTTCTTGGATCAATTTTTTGGCACTATATTTCATACAATCAGTCATTAAAAGATGATGGAGGGTATATTGAATGTAAGAAAATTGCATTTAAAATTCGTTATATCAAAATTACTAATCACTTTCGTTGTAACGCAAAATTTAATCATAATAATAATTCGAGGCTTGACTATAAAATTTGCAAAAAATATTTATTACTATCGAGTTGAGCTAGAATTTCTATTCGTAATACAAATTCTTATTCGAATAGAAACTCAATGTTGAGCAGGCTCGAGTTGAAACTTGAATTTTCAAGTTCGGGCCGATTTCAAGAAAACAGACTCTTGAATTGTTTTTAGCATAAAAATATTATGAAATAGAATTAATCATTTCATTACCTAAAAAAAACTTTTAAACATCTATCGAACCTATTATTTCTTGGCTCGATCTCGACTTATTCGGAGTTTTAATTCATGCTTATCGACAAAGCTCGAAACATCAGAGAACGCAACTCTTTTGACCATCTTCACAAACAAACATATATGAACTTTGCAAAAACTAATAACATAAAACATGCGATGCAAATGTGTATCGACTTAGAAAAGCAAAAAATGTATTTTGAGTACTTGACCTGGCTGACCGATTTTTCATTTCATCCAGGATAAGTTCTCATGCCTTCCAATATTTATTATAAATGTACTCGGAAATGATTTCTTTAAGACTATCCAAGTAAGTTTTTTGCCTCTTAAATAGCTTTTATGGTTTCATGAGTAGTGCCTTCAAAATGCAATGGTGTGATACCAAGATGACCATATACATTCTTTGGTGAAAAAAATGGGACGCCCGTTTTCAAATTCAAATGTGAGATCAATTAATGCATAACAATCCAAGGCTGTAATTAAGATTTATACCATTAATTCAATAACAATAATACGACAAATGATATATATATATTGTACCGAATGACACTATTGTAGAAAGCTTTTGGTTTCTAGAAACATTCATTGTCTTCATTGTTCTTTTTGCAAGAACTTCCGTAATTGGCTTTCCCGTTTTTTACTTTCCATTCTGTCTCTATTTGGAAATGGTAACAAATACTGATGATTACATTAAATACATCACTACTATTTCTGACTGTAATATGTTCTTAAATGTATAACAAAATTTGGAAAGAAAATACTAATACTGGCTGATAAGTATGTTCTTAAATGTATAACAAAATTTGGAAAGAAAATACTAATACTGGCTGATAAGTTTCGGAGCTTGAGTCATGGACAATAAAAACTTATGGTTAACTTTTTATAATGATATAAAAATTTTTCGAAAGTGAATTTTTTAATAATTTCAAACTCCAAGTTATTAATTAATTTTTCTAAATAATTTAATATTAATAAAAAAAAAATCTAAATTATTATTACTACAGTATTAGGGACACATTGATAAATAAATGTTACTATTACTATTACTATTACTATATATTATTTAAACCAGCCCCCCTCCCCAAATAAAATTACGTCCGTCATTGTTTATAATGTCCATTTAAAAAAATTTTTTACGTGATTAAACAATAAAAATAAAAAAGTTGATTAACTAAATTAATTAAAACCAAATCCTAATACTACAGGACTATGAATTGAATTATTCAATGCGTGTTCCTTAAAACTTTTGATTTCTTCAGGACTTAATTGTAATACTGTTGATATTACGGAAATAAGTGGCTTAAGTTATATAAAAAGGGACAAAATTAGAAAATTTTATTGCAGAATCATGCAATCAATAAATCATTTAAATTGATGAAAATGATAATTAATTACCTCACGTTCATTTGGATTAGTTTCAAAAAATTTTAGTACTACATTCTTTAAATATTCAACACTCAAATCCTGTCGTTTTTCTAATCTATCCAATTTACGTAATTCATCTTTTAATAACTTCAATTTTATGATTAATAAAATTGGTTGATGTCAAGGAATATTAGTTTAATAATCAAACAAAAACAATCAAACAGATAAACAAATTGCATATTCATATATACCCTTTCTTGTTCCATTAATCTTTGGACCGTAGACTCGCTTTCATTTAATAATTCTGCCATGTGATGTAACTTTAATAGGTAATCCTTTTCTTTTTCAGGTGCACTTGAAGGAATTAATGATTTACGATCTTCCATGTCTGTTAAAAGGTTCGATAATAAATCTAAATAAAATAATTTGCTTGTAAATTTTGTTAAACCAAATATATAAAATTAAAGCTCCACATGAGCCAGCTTGCAAGGAGCTTTATATAAAATATATACTAACTATGAGTTGAACTAGTACGACCAGATAATGATGATGGTGATGATGGTGAAGGTGCTCTACTACTATCTTTTCTAAAATGGGTACGAATAGCTGATGGTGGTGGAGATGAAGATGATTTATTATTAGAAATTTGTTTTTGTAATTCTTCTATTTGTTCATTACGTGCCTCCAATTCTGCACGAAGTCTGAGTAATTCTTCACCAAGTTGCTAAATATTTAATATAACATGTAAAAGTTATAACTTCAAATCTTTTAAGTTCTGCACTTAATATTGAGAATTTCTTTTTTTTACCTCTGAATTTTTTTGCAACTCATCACTTTCTTCTTGTTTTTTAACAAGATTTTTTTGAACATTTTCTGTTGATTGCTCGATTTTTTCTTGAAAATTTTCAATGTTAGATTTATAATTTTCCTCACTTTCTCGAAGTGCTAAAATAAATAAATATTTAATTTAAATAAAAAATAGGTTTAATAAATATTATAAAAATATATGATATAAAAAAAACCTTTTCTCAAATTTTCATTTTCTTCAGAAAGATTCTCTACAATTTCTTGTAATTTTTTAATAGAAACTTCATTGTCAAGAGCCATTTGCTTTCCCTTTTCATATTCCTTTTCCAAATTAGAATTTGATTCAAGTACGCGTTTGTAATTATTCTCTGATAAATGCAATCTCTCCATCACATTTTTCAATTCATTAACCTTGAGACTATATAAGTTATAAAAATGTTATTATTGTGTTTTGTTATTATTTATTTATAATCATTAAATAATGGTGGTACCTTAGTTCAAAATCCAATTTTTTATTTATAATTATTAATTCTGATTTTTCTGAGCTGGAATTTTCATTGAGATTTTTTTGTTCAAGCAAAGCATGTGCTCTAGTTTTATATTGTTGAAATTCTAATTTGATTTGAGCAATTTGTTGAGTTGATTGTCTTAATTTTGATTCCTATGTTACAAAAAATCATAAAGATTTAATTAAATTATAATCCATAATCCACAATCAATATAACAATAGCTTGATAGATTTTACCAATTGTTCAATCTGTGCATTATACATTGCAGTCTGACTATGTATTTCTGTTGTCAGCCTTTCCACCGATTCTAATTAATTTAATAAAATAAATTATATAAAAATAATAGTATATATTAAAATATTATCAGTTGAAAAAAATAAAATAAATACTTTGACTTTCATCAACTGAGGTTTTTGTTTTCTCATCTTTTAATTTTAATTTTTCTAAAGATGCTTTTAACTCTTCAATTTCAGCATCTTTTGTTGCCACCGTTTGTCTCAAATCCGTTAAACTTTTGTTAGCTGCATTGAATATGCCTAATATATTGATTGTTATAATTGTGTGTTCATTATTTAATTTATTAATTAATTAATCAATCAACCAAAGTTATGATTAATTAACTACCTCTTGTTTTTTTCATTTTTTCATCATATTCTGCTTTTGTTTTTTCCAATTCACCTAATTTTCAAAGATTTATTATTATATATACATTTATATGTATATAAATATGAAAATTTTATCACAAACTTGTTCTTTTATTTAACATTTCTTGATATTTAATAGTTTCATTTTGTTTATTGCTCAATTGAATTCTTAAATCTTTAACCTAAATCATATTATTAAGTATATAACTTGTCAAACCTATATTATATAATGTTAATAATCAACAACAACAACAACAACATTAATTAATAATATTATTAGATATATAAACCTCTTCTTCAAGTGTAAAATTTCTACTTTCCAGTTCATCAAGTTTGTTTTTTGATCCAATGGTGGGACTCTGTCAAAATCGAAAATGTGGTTTGTGAAATGGTTTTTCTTCAAAAAACAACAATTATAATAAACAACATGCTATGTAATCATACACTTGTCCTTAATATTGATTTTGCTCGCTCCATTTTTTGTTCTAAGCGGGGATGTTGTTCTTCTTGCTTCTCCATCACAAATATAAATATGTACTAATACTGATAAAAAATGAAAAAGCCGTGTCACGGTTTTCTGTAGATTTTTTTAAATTGTGTCCGATCTGCAAATTTTCCCAAATTTGGGAAAAAAGGTTATACGGGAAACATAAATGCGAATATATGGTTAGGAAACCCTATTACTATTGTATATATAATATATATATTAATATTATAAGGATTACAACTGGTGAGCCATATTTGCTTAACACAATAATGAGATACAAAGCTTTGAAAATTTAACATATAGTACATATCAAATCATATTTGTAATATATTTTGCAGGGATCGTTTCCTAAAACATAAATTTTTGCAGCACAGTTTTCACCATTCTAGTTTTTCGATTACAATATTGTAAATTTTTTGGAATCTATTGGATGACTTTTTCGTTTACTCCAATGATATATATCCAACTGTGAAGTTTTGATCCTCCTTTACTTTTACTTAAAGATTTATTGAATCTCAAATTTTTCTTTATTATCAAGAAGTTTATCAAACACGTTTTTTGCATGCTCCAGTATCATCTAAACTAGATGGTGCAAGTTTTTATATTAATATAATCATCATCTTCAGGCCATGCATGTTTTTCGAAGCTCTTTCAATTGACATATTTTGTAAGCGATTTCTTTGTCTTTTTTTTAATCTGGTTTTTTTGAATGAAAAAAAAATACATTGTTTATGAATACAGTATAGCCTCGTTACAACGAAGTGGCTAGACATATAAGAAAATTTCATTTAAGATTTATTGAAATGAGAGTTGAAACAAGATTCATTGTCGATAATTCATAGTAATAGGATTTTTGATATGTTACATGCTTTTGTACTATGAACAACATCTAAAGTTTTCACCAATCATAATCCTCGTAGTATATACATTATACAAAAATTTCAATTTTGGTCTGGAAGCCTTATATACCGACTTTTATTAGAATCTCCCCGTTTTTTAATATAAATCGTTTAGTTTTCTTTTTATTTTATTGATAAACTTTTAGATAATAAAAATCAGCATCTTTTTTATAATCTATTCATTTTGGATCTTTTAATTGTTGCTATAATGTTGGATATTATTTAAATAACTCTACTTGTTGGTTACTTTAGAATAAAGCGACTAAAAAAAATAAAAATAAAAATCCGATATGGTTCAAGAAAAAGAAGCAGAATTTGGGAAAGGTATAAAATGCAAATAACTTTATATTAAGAAAGTAATTACAAATTTTAAAATCATTTCACGTCAAATAGTGTTGTTATTATTATTTGAAAATCACAAACAAAATAAATAAAAGCAATTGGATATATATAACTCATGGTAAACGGAATACTCATAATTACAAATAATTATTCTGAACGATATCTAATTAATGAGATTAAGTAAGGAATTAGGTATCCAAAAGGTATTGATCAGACTTTGAAATTGCTGTACGATTGATGTTAGTTATCGAATGACGCCATAAATTGACACCAATCAACACGTTACAACAACCACTTGTTTCAATCTGTCACCAACACGCATACGGTAAAGGGCTCTATGCTAATTGGATCAAAGAGATGTCTAGTTGTAATAATAATAGTCCAGAATGTCAGAATGACTATAGCTGAGAACATTATCAACAATAAATGGGTCTGATTCATTTCGTCGACAATAATTTCGCCGACAGTCATTTCGTCGACAGTCATTTAGTCGACACCCATTTCGTCGAATGTTAATTTCGTCTAAAGTTTGTTTCGTCAAATGTTCATTTCGTCAAATGTTCATTTCGTCGAAAATTATTTCGTCACAAAAAAAAAACTTCATTAAACAAATTTTTCCTCACACTTCCCACACACACCGCTTTCCCCACCTAATTTCTTAACTAACTTCCCACACTCCTCACATCTAACTCGTTCGGTCTCTGGCTCGAGGATGAAATAATTTTCGACGAAATGAACTTTCGACGAAATGAACATTCGATGAAACAAACTTTCGACGAAATGGATGTCGACGAAGTAAACGCGACCGGGAGAAAGAAAAATTTGCTTAATGATGTCTTAAAGGATTGATCTGGTTGTTTTCATTGTTTTCATTCATTCTCTTATCAAAATTTGCCAGACACTCCTCAGAAATGAAAGCAAGCCTATCAATGCCAGAAGCATAAGATTGGACAATATCATAATAAGTATGTCTTATAGGAATACCTACAAAATTTCAAACACATAAAGTCCATGTCAATTATTTTGGAAAAATAGTTATGAATATAAATAAAACAAATACAGGCCTAATTAATGGCATAAGGGTATTGTGATGGTGAGTAAGATGATAAGATAATAAATGGAATAAAACACAAAAATTAGTTGCTTACTTTGTTGTATATCACTTCCAACGACTTCTCTTTTTCTTTTAAGTAATTAAATTCCCCTTCATGCCACTCCTCCCAACAACTGGCCCAGCCTCCCTCTCCACTCTTCTTTCCATCTCCTCAGATTCTCTTCCGCCTTTCCTTGGCATCGTTTAATTCTTGTTTAATTTCTTCTTTTGTTGTCATTTTTTGAAATTAAAAAATTAAATTAATTTTTAAAAAAAAAATGATTTAGATCATAATCTTTACAATTATGCATAATTTCGACCAATGATAAAATTAGTGTGCACATGATTTGGAATTTATTAAACGAAGAAAATTAATTCAATTAATAGAAAAATACATAAATAATAATACAAGTTAAAGAATTGTTGGAGCACTTGCATAGAGGGAAATACTCAGACCCAAAGCCATTTGTAAGTATTAAGTATTAGTGTTATAAATAGGATAATGGTAACATCATCACAAGGTCATTTTATTTATTCATTCATTACTTTATATTTTATTTATTAACAAATCGAATAAAAAATTATCATTGAATTAGAAGACTTTATTTCATTTAAAAAAATTTTATTCTAAAATAAATTCTTTAGATATATAGATACAAACAATGAGTGATCGTTTTAAATTAAAAATTATTACGACATTGTGTCAATAAGTTGTTACAAAAATCCTATTAAATTTTAGGCCCAAGTTGAAAAGAGGAGTTAAAATAAATAATTTGTTTATTAACTGAAGAAAAGTTGACTTAATAATAATAATTTATCAGGTAGGTCCTATGTAATAATAAACAAACTTATTTTTTGCAACTTTATATTATAATCATGTGATACAATCAGTCAGTTTATCGTTTATTTTTTTAATGTTTACATAATAAATTACATAATAATAAGAATATATTTGAAAAAAAATTTATTTCTGCCAGTAATACGTCAGGGCCTACCTGATAACAAGAAATTAGTTTTGAGAAAAAGTATATATATACACGAAAAAATAAATTACACACGATTTTGTCACAATTTTATGTTGTTGATGTTTTGTCTAAATTTAGTAAAATTCAATCAGTATAAATAATTCAACATGGATTTGATAATCCAATCAAATAAAATTTCTTTCATCAAAATATATCACAACTAAACTATACAATTAATAACAAATACCCAAAAGCAAATATATTTTAATAAACATGATTTTCGAACACGGTAGCATTGTCTTGGCAAAACTTAAGGGATTCCCATGGTGGCCAGCAAAAGTAAAGAGAGAAGAATAATATTTACATGAGAAAAAGAATTTAATAATAATGTATTAGTGTAGCAAAGATTAAAAAATTTAACTCGACACGTCTATTTTATCTATTATACATGTTTATATTTACGTCTTAAATAGATTGAAAAGGAGAATAAACTCCCTGAGCATATCTTAAAGAAAAAACCAAAACATCAAAATACCATTCCTGTTAAATTCTTTGGAACTAATGATTAGTATGTGTTTTCTACGTTGTGCATTTATATCTTATACATACATATATCAATATATATAATAAATAGTAACTAATGATTTATCATTTTATAATAGTGGATTTGTTAATAAGAAAGATATCAAACAATTTGATATGAATAAAGCAAAGGATATGATTAAGAAAAAAACCAATAAAAAACTAGTTGAATCGTTACAAAAAGTCTTGAAAATTTCATCTCTTGATAAAAAAATAAATAAAAAAAAGGAAAAATCTGTAACAAACGATAATGAAAATGATATCAATGTTGATTCTGATCCTGCTATGGAATTAGAAGGAGAACAATCTAGATCTGGCGATGATGCAAATCAAGATAAAAAAATGGATATTGATGATAATGATGATGATGATGATGATAATAATAGAGAAGCCAATAACGAAGGCTCTGATAAAGTAGACAATGATGATAATAATGATGATAATAATGATGATGGTGGTGATAATGATGATGGTGGTGATGGTGATAATGATGGCGATAAAGATGCCACTAAAAATCATAAACAAGCAGTTAATGATAATAAAGAATTGGCTAATGGTGATCAAAATGCCAGCGATGAAGTAAATATTAACAATATTAATGATAACGATGAAGGCGGCGATGAAAATGTTGAAAAACCAAGAACTGGTTATGGTGTTATATCAATCAAGAAGGAATCTGATGTTAATGCTGATAATAGTAGTTCTGACAAAAAACCGATAATTCGTGCTCGCAGAACATACAAAAGATCTGTCAATAACAAGGATCAGTCGGTGAATGATGATAAAAATATCAGTAATAATAAAAGTCCTGGTGAAATAGGTAATAATGATGATGATAAAAATGCAGTGACTGATAATCATAAACAAGAGGTTGATGGTGATAAAGAAATGGTTAATATTGATCAACAAGATGATAAACAAGAAGTTAATGGTGATCAAAATGTTAGTAATGAAGTAAAAATTAACAACAGTAGCAACAACAATGTTAATGTTAATGATGAAAATGACAAAAAACCAGGAACTCGTCGTACTCTTAGAACAACCAACAAGAGGTCTAGTAAAAATGATGTAACTATCGCTGCTATTAATGATAATAAGGAAAGGGAAGAAGAGGGAAAGCAAGATGACATTGACAAAAAACCAGCAGCTCGCGTTTCCAGAATTAACAAAAGGTCTTATGACAATCATGAAGATTCTTCTAAAACTACAAGAGAAAAAAAGAAACGAAAGGATAATGCTGGTGGTGTTGTTGTTCTTTTCACAAATAATGACACTAGCTCTACAAAAAATGCTGCCGATAATACTGATGGTATTACAGATGCCTTTGACCCCACTACTAATACAATTAATGGTGAAGAAGAAATAGATAAAATGAACATAGATGAAAACAATAAGGTATGGTGGATTTTGATATATTGTATATTGTATATTTAAATACTGTAAATATAAATGAATATATTAAACTTTCATTAATGATGGATACTTCGATTAGGGCGAAGAAAAAAAAGAAATTACCACTAGCAATGGCGAAAGTTCAATTGAAATAAACAATGAAGATATGGAAGCTATTGAAATCAATAAAGGCAACCTTGATGGTACGTTAAATTCCTTCTTTGGAAAAAAAATACGCAACACGTTTAATTAATAACTGTGTCATTTATTGTAGAAAATAATGTTGAAAAGTTGCTTGATTTAAGACAACAAATTCAAAAGCATGCTCTCAATAAAGATGATATTAATGTATGATGTACTTTTCTATTTATTTATTTATTTATTTTTATTTGCTTTTATTGATATTATTTGCTCGTATATATATATGCTTATCTATTTTAACATAAAAGGAAAGGGAGATGGAAGTTATCAATAACAAATTCACAGAGATTGAGAATATCTACGCCACTATACAACAAATAAAAGTATGTTTAAACTTGCTTGCGTTTTATTTTTAAATTATATTATCAATTTTTAATGATCAATCAATTAATTATAGGAATCTAAAATGGGAATTTTGATGCATAAGATGTCCGAGAAAACTATTAACAATGATACATTCAATATTGTTGGAAGAAGCTTAAATCTTGTAAATAAATGGAAAAAACTAATAGATGAACAGGACCAATAAGATGGAATATCTATTATTTTAAAAGAATTTATTCTCGATAGTTATCAATAGTTATAATTATTATATAACTAATATTAATGCTAATTTTTTTTTTTTATAGTAATTCATTTATAACATTTATACATATTATGCATAATATATAATATATAATATATAATATTCTTTTGTGAAAAACAAATAAAATTATTTTGCTAAATACATCCATTATTATCTATCTAATCAACATTAGTCAAAAAAGATCAAATGATAATGATTATTATTATTAGTAATTAGATAAATTGATGATAAAAGCAAGAAGTATATTGATTGTTCAGCTCCCGCAATTGTCAATTAACCAATTAATAACCATATGTTATTAAGCATATGTTATTAAACACACGTTATTAACACAATTTTTACAAGGTAAAATATGTTAAATAATAATATTTTATATATACATATATTATTAATTTTTGTTGTCCATAAAGATCTGCAAGTTGTGTTAATAAGTCACTAATAGAGTTATTAAGTATTTAATAACTTGGTAGTTGATGTATCTACTACTTCTAGCAACAAGTATAAATTTATTCACGTGACAGGAAAACAATAATTTTAGGATTTGGGGAAAAGGTTTACTATTTATTTACTTCCCGAACTAGGAATGCAAGAAAATTTATTAGAGCAAATAGCTCTTCTATCCGATCGTGAACTAATTTAATTCATGACTGAATTGTATTTTCTACTAACAACTCAACTTTTCCTGAACTATATGTACTAAACGTAATTGACTTGTAATAAATACATCTGTTGTTTTTACATTGCAAATGCCTTTTTTTTCGCAGCACACACACTGTATATCATTGAATACTTTTATCATCGATAATGATTAAATTCTGTTTTGTAAGCGAATGACACCACCATAACATTCACTTTGATTTCATGCTTCCTAAAAGTTATGTTTAATAAAGATTTGACTTAATATTAAGCATTAAATACTTGACATTAGGTGCCTCTATAAGACAATTTGTTTTTGTAAAAAGCAATAACAAATCATGAAGAGTATCAGCACTGTCGAAAAAATATTCAATTTACTGTATATATTTTATTCGTGGAGGTTTTTCATTTGTATGGAAACTATCCAAACTAATTCTTTAATATTTCTTCCCCGTTATTACATTTCATAAAATGAAAAAAAGTCAAAGTCCGTTCAAATTGAATTTAGTGTCTGAGTTTGAATACACACAATAGGCATGTCAACCTTAATATGTAGAGCTAGCTGTGTTAGATTAATGTTTCTATTTTGATTTTTAACTTTGAAGGTTAACAACAAAATAAAACGCGTTTGAGCTGACTTAAGCGCCTGAGTTTATAGAACGACTTTTACATAGTACATAACAGGTTTGGGTATGGTGCGCCGTATCTAAAGACATCAAAAAAATTGCAAATCTTTAAACCCTGATAGATTTGGAAATATTTGTCAGG